AGTGAAATCACGTGAAGAATATTATATACCTGTGTTTTTGCTTATTTCAAGAAAAATAACCCTAAAAAAATCCAATCAAAAGTACTTAATTTAGCCTGTCAAGATGGACACTGACAAGTACTTTAGTCAAAATACACGTAACTAATGCTCTCTGAAAATAACCCATCAGAAATGTCTTGGCCTGTGAATTCCTAATTTAGGAAGAAATGGCAAGGGCGGGGTACTGGTGTTTGAAAATTCATTCTGTGGGTTTAGGCAACATACAAACAGACAGAGCCAGAGATGATTTTGAGCTGTGCTGCTTGGTTTTATGATGAGAAAGAAACACCTGAGAGAGACAGAAGTGATATCAAAGGACCCGGGGAAAGGCAAGCCTTGGTCCCTCTCCTGTCTCCTTGTCCTTGTCTTCCCAGGCAGGGCAGGCACAGTGGCAGGAAGAGGCTCTCCCAAGTGAGGACAGGAAGTCTCAGGCCACTACAATTGAACCCACTACAAATCAACTCTTTTGTAAATAAAATTAGCTTTTAGGAAGACCTCACTGATTAGAAGTGAGAGTAAATATTGGCCTTATCGGGTAGTGTGTGACCTTATTCTTAAACATTCTTTCCATGAAGGATCTGTTTATATCCTGGAGGCTTACAGGAGATGAGCGAGAATGGGGAGGGGATTGGGTCCCTTGTGGCTGGCCTGAGAGAAATAGCTGTCAATCGAGTGGCTTCGGGATGTCTGCAGTGGGCACGGGGCTGGAGGGAGACAGTTGCTCTATGAGTGTTTCTCTGGGGGACCATGGGTCTTTGTTATCCATGCATGTTTCCTTCAACTGTCATGAAAATTGCAAATAATCCCAAAATACCTTGTGATGAAATATATGACATGATGTGAAGGAACAGGTGGGTAACATGGAAGAACCACCCCCCTGCCTATGCCATGCTTTTATTATGACTAAACTATTAACCCCATGGACTTGAGGCATGCTAAGCAGTTTCTGGTGTAAAAAGCATTCAGTCCCACCAAAGAGGCATGCGTGCTTTTGAAACTTGAATTTTTTTTAATGTGTGTCTATTGGTCAGAAAAAAGATAGTACTGTTAATTCAAGGTGTTTGCAAACCACCCGGTATGGGTGTTTGCAGCCAAATTCAGATCCTCTGGAAGAGCAGCTGACACCTTAAACTACTGCACTGTCATTCCAAAGTCCAGAGGCTTAGACTCTGTTTGAAGCTAGCACTCGCCCTAAAAGAACTCCAGAGAGAATGAACCGGAGGAGCCGAGCTTTCTTAGCTTGGTTTTTGATGCTGCTGTGATAATGACTCTGTCACTTGTGTCACTGGCCTGGTTAGGTGCCTGCATCAGGTGGTGAGACCTGTTAACAGAAGTATTGGAAAGATTTCAGTGTAGAATGGAAAGTAGAAATTTCTGGAAATCCCCCCCCCCTTCCTGTCTTCAGCAGGAAGTTGGGATGCACCTCCCACTGCTAAGAGAATTGCCTTGTTAACTTTCTTTTTGACCAGCCCTCACCTTGTGAAATAGGATATTTATAAACTGTTCTGCTTTTTATAGTTTTGGTTGTGAGCCTAGTCTTTTTAATGGCCGAGCCGTCTCTCCAGAGCCTGTTCTACTTTTTGAGATCAGGTCTCACTCTGTAACCTAGGTGTCCCTTCTCCCTCAGCTTCCTGAGTGTCAGATTGTAGGTGTGTGCCACCAGGCCCAGTTGTCCTGCTTATAAATATTTCATGATCACAAATTATGCTGTGAATTATTTATTTGTCACCTTTTAACAACTAAGTTCTCTTTTACAGAGGTGATGGCTCCAGAACTCTTCCCCGAGCTTGAGAAAAGCCAACAGAGCACCAAGGGGCACCCTTATCTAGCAAGTTCCTTTACTGGGTCCTTGTAGGTGGGGGAGGGCTGGGAGGGGTGCAAGAGGACTGAGAGACAGGCTGGTGGCCCACTTCCCTCCTCTGCTGTTCCCAGAGACAGGAAGTGTGTCATAGTCTTTTTCTAACAGGCCCGAGGGGTTCCCCCACCTTCTCTCTCCTGCTGAACCTTTATGGGAAAGCTCCTCTTCCCAGTTGTGGAGATAGCTTCCTTGCAGATCTGAGCCTTGGGGGAAATTGTTGGTGTATTGCTTCTTGCCCTCATAGAGCTGGCTGGGCAGCAAGTGCCTGCAGTAGGAGTTATTGAGGTATTAGTTAAGGGAGGGCCTCATTTAGATGATTAGATAGCTTCTGTGCTCAGCACAGCATCTGCTTTTTCTGAGCCCATAGGATGGAGATGCCCTTTGGTGCTGCAGATTCCTCCCCTTACTGTGTATAGGGCGGTGGCATCTCTAGTATGACATATGAGTCACAATGCATGGGGTACGTGCATATCACGGAGTTTTCACATATAGAAACAGCCATGTGAGGTTCACCTAATCCAGTTTATCTTGTTATGTTTCTTTTCTGATTATAAAAACACTTGTGGGAGTTTCAGAAAATGTGACAAAATGTGCAAAAGAAAATAAAAACAACTTTTTAGATACCCCCAAATGATCACTATTGATATTTTGATATCTTAGACATCTATCTCTCTTATTGTGGCTTGCAGATGTGTTTGCCTGTAAATTTATGTGTGCATGCACGCAGGGCATGGCTTTGAAATGTTATGCATATGTGCACAAACACATGGAAGTTTTCTTAACAGTTGCAATTGGCTTCATCTACAGAGTAATGGGGAAAGAAAATCAGAGAAACTAACCCATCTGACTCAGTGATTGGTGGCAGGATAGAGGACTTGGGTGTGTGTGTGTGTGTGGGGGGTCTGAACTAAATGACTGACTGGAGCATGTAGAGCGGCAACAAAGTTTCATTAATTGACTCTTTTTCTGATGTAAACAACTGAACATAGGCAGTAGGAAGGTCAAAGACTTTTGTGTGATCTCTTCATGCAGAGAGGAGCAAAACCCGGATCTAACTTTGTCGGCTACTTTGGGAAGTGGAAGCTGTCTGGGTTCCAGGCATCCTTGGGTAGAGGCTCCCTTTTCCCTTTCCCGCAGTTCCTTTGCAGGTACTCAAGCTGACTGCAGTCGCAGCAGCTCTTGTTGTAACAGTACAAGCTGAGTCAAACATCGGAACTCACCCACCGATCTACAGATTGCAGCTATATGCTCCCTTCCAACAGTGACTCTCTGAGAGCCACGCCCATGCACACGGATGTCTTACTTTTCACCCCAAGCACCTCTCTTCCTCTTCATGCTTAAAACCAATATTAAAAATCTCGGGTGCTGGAGAGATGAAAGGCACTGGCTGTTCTTCAAGAGGACCGAGGTTCATTTTCTAGCACCCACATGGTGGTTTCCAGCCTTCCAGAACTAGGGGGCCCGATGTTCTCTCTCATATGTGCACTCATGTGGCACATGTTCGCAGGCAAAACACTCACAAATATTGAAAAAAGAAGTCTTCACAAGTAATTTCTAAATGTGCTTTTAAAAAGAACGACTAAACAGCACCTTCAGAGTACTGGTTGCTTTGGTTCTGTCTGACTTAGTTTCCTGTACATGTTGTCAGTAGACCACAATGGCATCAGTTAGTGTTCTATTCATGCAACAAAGCAATTGCAATAATCAACTTAAGAAGATGAAAGATGTGTGTTGGCTTTCTTTTGGAAGTGCCAATCTAGTCAGTAGACCCCATTGCTTTTGGGCCTGTAGTGAGACAGTACATCATGGCAAGAGCACCATGATTGCTCCTGGAAGTTGGTGGGCTTTTTATTTTCTTTTTGGTTTTCTTTCCAGACAGGGTTTCTCTGTGTAGCCCTGCCTGTCCTGGGACTCACTATGTAGATGAGGCTGACCTCAAGTGCCTCCTGAGAGTTGGGGTTAAAGGTGGGTGCCACTACCACCCAGCTGGTGGTGGGCTTTTTTCCAATTAATTAATTTGGTGGTGGGCTTTTAAAAGACATCCTATAGTACTGGACCTTTGGAGACTATTTACTGTGATGCTCCTGTTCCAGTCCCCTCTCCCAGTCCATCAATAGCTATCTATTCTATTTCTTCTTCCTATGGAAATCATTCCTTCCCCCAGGGTCCCTTACTCTATACCTAACCTCCGTGGTTACATGGTTTGTGGTCTGCTTATTGAGGACTTCACAGTAACATCCATTAAAATGCAAATACATATCACATTTGTTCTTTTGGGTCTGGATGACCCCATTCAGAATGATTTTTACTAGCTCTCTCCATTTATCTGCAAATTTCATTTGTTTTAAACAGCTGAGTAGTATTACATTGTGTAAATATACCATGTTTTCATTATTCATTCATCTATTGAGGGATATCTAGGTTGTTTCCACTTTTTGGCTATTATGAATAGAGCAGCAATGAACCCGGTTGATCAAGTGTCATTGTTGTATGACGCGTCCTTTGGGTATATTTGTTTTTGAGGTAGGTTAATTCCCATTTTCCCGAGGAAGTGCCACACTGATTTCCCTAGTGGCTCTTCAAGTTTGCAGTCCCACCAGCAATGGATGAGTGGTCCCCTTACTCTTTATCCTCGCCAGCATGAACTGTTATTTGTTTTATCAATCTTGGCCATTCTGATTGGTGTAAGATGAAATCTCAATGTAACTGTCAAATTGCATTTTGATATTTGTTGTCCAATCTTGTCTATCCACTCCTTTATTCTTATTTGTGTGTTTTTTCTTGTGCACTTAATAATTTGAGTGATTTCATAGATGGAAGTATTAGAGTTTTTATATTTATAAAATACCTTCTCATATTCACAGCTGGGCATGGTGCTGCTGGCTGTGATTCTAGCGCTCTGGAGGCAGAGAGAGGAGATCATATTGTGTAAAGCCAGCTTAGGCTGTGGAGGGATGCCAGGCACCCTAGGGCTACGTAGAGAGCCCCCATCTCAATTAACCCAGAGAAAACTGTACTTGCTAACCAAAGAGAGCCCGCTCCCAGGCAGCATCAGTAAGTGGCCTTTCCGTTTACATGTGTTCTTGTTGTGTTGTCTTTGCAGCCGAAATCAGCTGTCTGCCCTGCCTGCCTGCCTGTGTGGTCTGCCTCTCAAAGTCTTAATCGCAAGTAACAACAAGCTGGGATCACTGCCTGAAGAGATAGGTCAGCTCAAACAGTTAATGGAGTTGGTATGTTACTGATTTCTAAGACGCTCTTCATTGCTAACTGCTCATAACCATTAGAGTCCCCTAAGAGACTTTGTAATAGATGGACAAGGAGGCTGTAATCATCCTTTCCCGTCGCTTTAACAAGTACCCAAGACTGGGAATTTTATAAAGCCGATTGCTTAGATCACAGTGAAAGTGCATGACCAAGCTGTCAATATCTTTTTGGCCACTGCAGAGGGATTTCCTCATCCTCAGCTGATGGCATCATGGTGGGAGCAAATGTGTGAGGGAAAGAGCACATGACCAGACAGGAAGCCAAGGAGGGGGAGGGACCAGTTTTGCACTTTTATGATGATCCACTGTCATTCTATTTTACTGGGATCCTGCAAGCACTGTGATAACCCTGTCTAAGCACATGCCCTAGTGCTCAGATCACCTTCCATTAGGCTCCACTCCTTAAAGGAGTCCTCCTATCACCACCAGATTGGAGACTAAGGGTTCAGTGTGTGATCCTTGGGACCAGTGAAAACTCCAGCAGGTGCCCATGTGTGCTAAAGTCATCGAGTGAGGAGACATGACGGTGGCAGCCGTGCTGTGCTGGGTTACAGTTCCTGAAATTTACAAGTTGCCTATGGATTATGCCTGACTTTGCAGTTTTGAAATTGACAGGTTATAGCATCATAGCAACATAATTTCTCCAGATTGCATTTACATCCAAAAAAGTATGGTTGAGTCAGGAAAATCTCTACTATAGGAGGTCATACTTAATGATGTCAGAAAGCAGAAAGATCAGGGTGCTGTGATTCTGTAACGAGTCTAGCATGTCTGGAACAATGCTGTCTCTAATCCTGGACATAGCTGTGGGTCCCTTATACAGTGGGCCAGTCTTTGCCAGGTGTCCCTTGATTCCAGTTCCTGTCCCACAACTTAGTACTGCCACAGTCTGTCTCTCTCAGGCCCACAAATTACAGAATGTCAGAGTGACAGCAGGCTTTAGAAGTAGTGTAGTCCAAGCTCTTGACCTCTTGATTAAAAGATGGAACCCAGGCCAGCCAGATAATGACATATGGAAATTCACAGCTCTTGGTAACCTGAGCTGAAACACCCTCATCAGTGGCACTGTCCAGTAGACATCCAAGGCAAACAAAAAAAATGTGGTTTTTAAATGTAGTGGTGGCCATGCTTAAACAGTTAAAAGAAACAGGAGAAAGTCCTTTCTGTAACACTGTATGTAACTCTAGAGAGGCAGTTATGACCCCTAGTTGTGTATGACAGAAAACCATTGAGATCTGTCATTCATGCCATTGTGTTTGTACTGAGCCTTTCCGACCAAGTCCAGTGTGCATCTTTCAGGGGTCATGCGCCACACGTAGGACCAGCCACACATTGGCTGCACAGTGCCACCAGTGCAGGGCCACCACTTTGATATGACAGCTCTGCAGCCTTGGTGTGTTATGTTCTTTTACCCCATGGGTCTGGGCAAGTATGCTTTTAGCAAAAAAACAAACAAAAAAACAAAAAAAAAAACCAAAAAAAAACATTTTCGAGGGGGATGCAGTGGGCTGGCTCAGAGGGTAAAGAAACTTGTCACCAAGCCTGATGTCTTGAGTTCAGTCCCTTGGACCCACATGGTGGAAGGAGAGAACCAACTCCCACAGCTGTTCTCTGACCTCCACAGGTGCACTGTGGCATGCACACACATTAATAACAATAAAAGGAGACATGTACAACATTTGTTTGTGAACAGGCAAAACTTACTAATGATTTTATTTAACCATGAAGGGGTGATGTGGCCTGCCTTGGTTAAGGTCATACACTAAAAAAATGATTTTTCCATTCATTCTCACTTATCTTTGATTTAGTTTTATTTATTTATTTTGCTTAAAATAGGATTGTTGCTATAGGAAACCATGTGATGTCAGATTATTTTTAGCTATCAATTGGGGAAGGAGTTCCCTGGAGAGTTAAATGTCATTTTTGAACAGGAGGCTTTGTTTTTATAGATACAGGTTACCAATTTGTAAAAAAAGAAAGAAAAGCTGGGCACTCCCCAAGCATTCCGAGCACTCGCCATTTAAGGCTTGAGTGCCAAGGACACCACTCAGCCCACTGGACTCTGAGCATTGTTTGTTAGCTACTTTAGAAAGGCTGTTTTCAAACATTTTCACATCAGAGTGTTCAGAATAGAGCCGTACCCACTTCTCTTAAGTGTGGATGAACATTCCAAAGTTAGTGTGCACCTTAGAAACAGAACAAATGCCTCAGCCATTAGAAAGAGCATGGTTATTCCTTCTTATTTTTGCAAGGAAGTCAAACTGCAAAACATCCTCTTAGCCTTCCCATCACATCATTCTATCTGAGAGTCTTAAACAGTGTCCCAAGTCATCTGTTGCCCTGCACAGCCATCACCGGCACAGCCAACACTGCACAGCCATCACCCACACAGCCATCACCCGCACAGCCATCACCCTGCACAGCCATCACCCTGCACAGCCATCACCCTGCACAGCCATCACCCTGCACAGCCATCACCCTGCACAGCCATCACCCTGCACAGCCAACACCCTGCACAGCCATCACCCTGCACAGTCAACACCCACATCACCCACACAGCCAACACCCTGCACAGCCAACACCCTGCACAGCCATCACCCTGCACAGCCAACACCCTGCACAGCCATCACCCTGCACAGCCAACACTGCACAGCCATCACCCTGCACAGCCATCACCCTGCACAGCCATCACCCACACAGCCAACACCCTGCACAGCCAACACCCTGCACAGTCAACACCCACACAGCCAACACCCTGCACAGTCAACACCCTGCACAGCCATCACCCTGCACAGCCAACACCCTGCACAGTCAACACCCTGCACAGCCATCACCCTGCACAGCCAACACCCTGCACAGCCATCACCCTGCACAGCCAACACTGCACAGCCATCACCCTGCACAGCCAACACCCGCACAGCCATCACCCTGCACAGCCAACACCCTGCACAGCCATCACCCTGCACAGCCAACACCCGCACAGCCATCACCCTGCACAGCCAACACCCTGCACAGTCAACACCCACATCACCCACACAGCCAACACTGCACAGCCATCACCCTGCACAGCCATCACCCACACAGCCAACACCCTGCATAGCCAACACCCTGCACAGCCTGCTTGTACGTCCACTTTGTGTAGTTACTGGTGCTGGGTAATTATGGAATCCCAACTCTATATTTGGTCCTCTTAGAGCTACTACTGATAGCAGTAATCTAGAACATTCAGACCCCCTTACACTCTAAATGGTTTCCTCGCTGTCTCTTGCAGCACAGATACTGTGTATGTGAGTACTGCTTTGTGGGAAATGGGAAAGAGAGAAAGCTGAGATTTACTCAGGATCTACTTCTATCAGGCTGTCAACTAATACATTCACTAACATCATTTCATAAAGCCTTATAACCTAGCATGGGAGGTATCATGTTTACATGTTAGTGGCTTTTAGAGTTATTTACCTAAGGGGGTGGAGCTTTGTGTCTGATTAAAGTCCATGTCAGGACTGAGCTCAGTGCTACAGCACTTGCATGGCATGTGTGGCTCTCTAGCTCTTATTCCCAAAACTACAAAGATAGTGTCTGAGTTAGGGTTTCTATTGCTGTGACCAAACACCATGACCGAAAAGTAAGTTGGGGAGGAAAGGGTATGTTTGGCTTACACTTCAGCCTTGCTGTTTACTGCTGAAGGAAATCAGGACAGGAACTCAAGCAGGGCAGGATCCTGGAGGCAGGAGCTGATGCAGAGGCTGTGGAGGGGAGATGCTTACAGGCTTGCTTCTTGTGGCTTGCTCAGCCTGCCTTCTTGTAGCATCTAGAACCAACAGCCCAGGGATGGCACCACCACTGTGGGCTGGGCCCTCCCCCACTGATCACTACTTGAGAAAATGCCTTATAGCTGGATCGCATGGAGGCATTTCCTCAGCTGAGGCTCCTTCCTCTGATGACTCTAGCTTGTGTCAAGTTCACAACACAAAACCAGCCAGTACAGATAGGTACATAGGTCAACTAGGTAGGTTGTTACGTAGGTGGATAGATGGATGGATGGATGGATGGATGGATGGATGGATGGATGGATGGAGTTGATAAGTGAATGGTAGGTGATAGATATATAGACATAGTCTAAAGCACAAGGAAGCCCCTCTCTGCTCACCTAGACTGTAGATGAGCAGCTATTTGAGAAGGACTGTGTTTTCTTCTGGAACTCCTTAGTTCAGTTTGCTGTGACATTCTCATTCAAGCTGTGACAAGCTGTGCCTTGCAGGTGAGCAGGAGGCATTCTCCCTGATGGCTGTGGACCGATGAACATGTTTGAATATTTTCTCACTATATAACCAGGTTGGGTTGTGGGGATCTGTAGATCTGTGTCAAATGAATCCTGTCTAACTTGTGAAAACCTTTGAAACTTGTTGAAAATAAGGTGTGTGTGTGTGTGTGTGTAGGTATAGTATGTGCATGTATGTTTGTGTATACATATGGTGTGATCTGTGCCTGTGCATGGGGAAGCCACAGAAGGAGGCTGAATGTTCACCATGTCTGCTGTATTCCTGCGAGATAGGATCTCTCATAGAATGTGCTGTTTTTCAGCAAGACTGGACAGCAGGCCCCAGCAGGCCCCTCAGCCTTCCACCCAAGTGCAGGGGGTTGGCAGGGACACTGTCACACCTGTCTTTTAGATTGATGCTGGAGATGTGGCTCAGGTCCTCATACCTGTGCTGCATGTGCTCTGCCTCCAGCCCTTCTGCCTTGTTTTCTGAGGTTGGATTTCTCCATGAACCTGAGCTAGATTCACTGGCCAGCAAGTCTAGGGAATCCTCTAGGCTCCGCCCACTGGGGGGCTGGGATTACAGGCATCTCCTTCTGTGCCCAGCTTTTTACATGGTTGCTGGAGGTGCAAACTTAATGCCCCCTCAAGGGTTTCACTGGCTGAGTCGTCTCCAGAAATTGGGGTTGTTGTTGGTTTTGTTTTTTCT